TTTGGTTAAAACAATGCTTGCTTATTTCAAACACAATACCTGCTTGTGAGCCTTAAAACACAATGCACAGAGCTCCATTATTAAGCTTCAACCTTCCCAGTATCTCACTAGATAAACTTTTCTGTAGCTTAGGGAGTTATTCTAGACAAGCGTTAATACACAGACCATTGTTCTATTTGTCTTTGCTTTTCTACAGTTTAAATAATTTTTCTGCTGACCAATCTCATGGCTGCTGCTTAGCTCCAATCCCAGTTCTGCTGTCTCTGAGGCCTTTTGCAGCTTTCCCAAACCCCTCTGATTTTGTGCATTCCCACACAGAGCAGCTCTGCACTAAAGCCCCAGCCCAAGGGATGCTGGGGCTCTATCAGGGTGATGGCTCTGGGAGCCCTGGCTCTGTCCAGAGCTGGAATTCCTCACCCCTGGCTGGAAGGAGGCTTCTGAGCCCTTTATCCTTCCTGGATTTGTGAAACCCAAGTGGCTTTGAGAGCCTTTTAGCCAGAGAGGCAGGAGCAGCCCTGGTGAGAGGCACCCTCCAGGCCCAATGCCCACCCCACAGCAGCCCAGGCCTGGCAGGGGCAGCCTGGCAGGAAATATTCACAGTCAGCCCCAGCACTGAGGCTCTCTGCCTTGCTTTGATTTCTATTTGAACAAAAACAGTGCCCAGCTCCTCTCCAGAGCAGCTCTCCAGGCTGGTGCAGCACCTTTGGAGGCAAAGGGACAACTGAGCTCTGCTGACCCAAAGAGAATTCAGACTGGAGCCCAGAGGAGCTGCTCTTTAAATAATTGGATATTTTATTACAAAAAAACCCCACCTTGGACAATCACAGAGGGATATATTTAACGTTGCTTTTGCAGAGAGGTGATTTTTGCTGTTTTCCCTTCAGCAGTTGTGAGGAGGATTTCCAGGGACCAGGAGAAGCACAGAGGACCCAGGAGGATCTCTCAGGGACCAGAAGATCCTCCCAGAGTCCAGGAGATCCTCTCAGGGTCCAGGAGATCCCCTCAGGATCCAGGATATCTGTCCAGGAGATCCCCTCAGGATCCAGGATATCTGTCCAGGAGATCCCCTCAGGATCCAGGATATCTGTCCAGGAGATCCTTCCAGGATCCAGGAGATCCTTCCAGGAGATCCCCTCAGGATCCAGGAGATCCCCTCAGGATCCAGGAGATCCTTCCAGGAGATTCTCCTGGGCTCCAGGAGGTTCTCCCAGGGACAGGAGCCCTGCCCAGCATCTCTTTTCGCTCTGCTCCTCCTTTCCCACATCACTCCAGACAAATCCCGACCCTTTCCCCGTCTCCCAGGGTGGGGGAAGCCTCTGTGCCCCATCCCACCAGGGAAATTTGGGGTTCACCAGCAGCACCTGCCCTGGCAGAGCAGGGCTGGCCCTGTGGCTCCGTGTCACCGTGTTCCTGGGACGTTTTTAGATGTCTCCTGGCATCCCCGCCCACGGAGGGGGTGAGGAGGTGCTGGGGGTCCAGGAGCTCCATCCCCTGACGTCAGCAGCGGGTGGGAGCTCGGATGCTTTCCCTGGAGGGTGAATCACAGCCCTGGGAGCTCGCTCACAGCTCTCACAGCTCCTGGAATGACACAAGGCCCAGTTATGTCAACACCTTCAGCTGGAAAACCGTGGCTCAGATGGAGATGGGGCTCAGTGCTCTGCCCTGCCCCATCCCTCAGCTGGGCAGTGCTTGGTCCAGCTTGGACCCCCTTCCCAGAATGGCTGTGGGCATTTGCTCCAGCCCTCAAAGTGCCTCTGGCCTTGCAGGAGATGGGCTGGGGTCCCCAGGAGGGACACCAGAGAGCTGCCATTGCTGGAGGCTGTGCAGGAGGAGTGAAGGGGCTGCCACAGGCTCTGCCCTCTTTGGGGAGCTTGAACCACCCCTTCCCCACCCTGGGTGCCCTGAGCAGTGGGGCTGGCTGTGGGTTGGGCTTTCCAGTGACCCTGGGACTCGAATTCAGCTGTTCTGGATGAGGCCAGGCCTGGGGATAGCCCTGCCCTGTGCCTTTCATCCCTCCCTCACAGCACCACTTCTTGGAGCATCTCCCAGCCACACTGCCAGCTGGATACAGGGGGAAAAGGGGTGGGAAGCACATTTTTTTGCTCTTTGCATTTTGTTATTTCTTGCTATTTGTGTGGCAAACCCACAGAGGGTCAGAACAGCCCTTGGGGGCATCGCTGGCAATAAAGGAAAGCAGGAGAGATCACCCTGGCCACAGGATCTTCCTGGAACATCCTCCCACCAAGTGCTTTTCCCAGCACCACACGCACAGACAAGGTACAAATTCCAGTTTGGGTGTCTATAAAACCCACTGAGATGAGAGAAATAATTCAGGAGGAAATGATTATTTCATAATAACACCGAGCAAAGGCGTCATCCCGTTAAATCCTTGTGAAAGAGCCAAGTGGGTGCCGAGCTCAGCTCTCCCGGTTCTGCGAGAGGCTGGGATGCGTCTGGAGCTGTCAGCACGGCTGGGGGAGGAGGGTGCAGACACAGGGATGATAATAATAGCTCACAATTAGGGTAGTAAATCAGGAGAGAGCGTCACTCAATTCAGAGAAATTCCCCTGATTTGCTGGAGACGGGAGCTGGGCTCTTTGCGCGGAGCTGGTGCTGTTTGGATGACAAATCCCCCTGGTTCTGCAGAACCTTCTCAAGGAGGCAGCAGCAGGAGCACGTTGGAAATTCAGCTCCACTTGAGTTGTTCCATGCCCAGCCTCAGTTTCTACATATTGCATGAGGATCAGCCTCGGGCTTGTCGTTTTCTGCATTCAACCCACCCTGGTACGGCAGATCTGCCTCCAGAAAAGGCTAAAATGGTGCAGCTGACGTTAAAAACCCAGGGTATCCTCCTGCCCAAGGAAACCCATAGTGCCAGGGCTGGTTGTGAAGGATTCCCAGTTTTCCTGTAGGGTTAGGCATTAATTTTCAATATTAATTATCTGGCTGGAGTTTGGGAAAATACAGTTTTTGTTCCAAGGTGAAGAGGGGTGTTGGGAGGAGCAGCAAGCTGACATCCCCCAGTGCTGCACCCACTGCCTGTCTGTGCCACCCCCTGCTCCAGGCACCTCAGGGAGCTGAGGTCCCTTGATGAGGAGACTCCTCCCATCCCAAAGGAAGGAGATGGCCAAGCTCCTACCAACATACAAGACCTATGGGTCAACCCCTGCCTTCAGGAGTGAGGTTTGTACCACTCTCCATCCCCCCATCTCCCCACATCCCCCTGGATGTCTGGGCACCACACTGAGCACTGATTTTCTCAGGTGTTCAGGGTGTTCCAGGCCCTCCATCCCACTTCAGGATGTCCCTGGAGAGATCAGTGCTGGCTCTGGTAACTCCATACAAACCTGACCGCTCTATATGGAAATGAAATATTTCCCATCGCTTCCTCCAGCACCTGGAGGAAATATTGCCTTGGGTGCCAGGAGCCTGGTGGGACTTGTTGCTTCCTTGGTGCTCCTTGTGGGGCCATGGGGGGATGGAGAGTGGTCCAAACCTCATTCCTGAAGGCAGGGGTTGACCCATAGGTCTCGTATGTTGGTATGAGCTCAGCCATCTCCTTCCTTTGGGATGGGAGGAGTCTCCTCATCAAGGGACCTCAGTAAATGCCAAGTGATCTAAAATTATTGCTTTTCACCTCCTCACCCCAGCTCCTGCAAGTCCAACCCTGCCCCATCTCCTTCCCCAGAGCTGCAGGGTGTTTCTCCAGCCCCCAGGTGTCCCTGAGCAGATCCAGGCTGTTCCCAAGAGCACGGGATGGATCGGAGCCGCATGGCAAAGCAGCCCCGTGTATCCAGGGATATCCAGGGATGTGATTATTTCCCAGTGGTTGAAATCTAGGTCTCCTGCTTGGGAGGAGGGCTGCGGGGGGAGGTGGAGGTGGGGGGGGGAAGACGCTCATATTAATCTTATGAATATTCATGGAGAAGCTGAGCTGCCTTCAGAGGTTGACTCCGGGATAGGAGTTTGGGGGGCTGTGGGTGAGAGGTGCCGGCAGCGGCGGGAGCAGAGCAGCTGCTTGTGCATTCTCCGCATGCCTGACTGCAGAGCCCAGCGTAAGTTGGTGCCTTTTTCTCCCCCCCCCCCACCCCATCCCTGCATCCTTCCCCCTTTCCCCGCTGCTCCCCTGCTTGAACACAGCCTGGCCAGGAGCGGTGCAAAGCGAGGGAGTCGAGCTTGAGTCGCAAACACGACCCCAAATCCTGTGACTCCCGCCCGCAGTGCTCAGTGCGGGCGGAGAACAAACTGAGGGGCTTCGGGCAAATCTGCACCTCCTCCATCCCCCCCTTCAGCCCCCAAATTTGCATGAATTAACCCTAAAGATGCTTGAGAAGGGGTGGAGGTTGTTTGCCAGGACAAGCAGCGATGGGGAGAAAGTAGGAGAAACTGAGTGTTGGGATGGGTGATGTCAGCTGAGACGATGCCGTAAAACCCTCCCTGCCAAGCCCCGAGCATCAGCGCTTGGATTTGGAGTCGGAGGAAGAAGCCCAGAGCCCGTGCCAAATAAAAAATCAACATGTTCAATAAAAAAAAAAAAGTAAATTTCTGTGCTGTTAAACAAATCCGGGGTGTTTGGGGAAGGGAGAAAGAGGAGGAGAGAGTTTATGGGCAGGAGGAAAACGGCATGTTTATTAAAAAAAAATAATAAAAAAATAAACCGTTGAAGGTTGGTTGATCTTTGGTGAGATGGAGGTTTGTGGCTGCCAGATCTTTCCTGCAGCAGCAGGAAGATGTTGTTTGTGGTGTTCTGGCGTGATGCTCAGAGGAGCCAGGGAAGGTCAAATCCAGCTGAACTCCTTGGTGAGTCGCTGGGGAGCGAATGGTGGGGAGAAAATGCAGGAAAAGGATAAAAACTGGGACAAACGCGACCTCCTCTCCTCCGGGCCTGGCAGAAAAGGGTTAAGAGAAGCGGTTGAATGCTGCAAGCCTCGTCAGGGTTGTACTATTTTTTCTAGTGCATAAGGAGAAGGGAGAGGAGGGTTGCACGGAAAAGGGAAATTTCCAAGAAAAGAGGGATCTGCGGCAATATCTGCACCTCGGGGGATGAAGAGAGGAACCAACAGGCATAAATGGCCTGGAGATGGCTGAAATCTTTGCCGAGGAGATTGGGACCGCGGGGTTATTTTCCACCTGCCTCCCCTGCCCGGTTCTGTAATCCTGGCTCAAAGTAGACAAGTCGAGTTGGAGCTGAAGAAGGGAGGTTAGAGGGGTTTTTATTTCATTTGGGAGGGGGGGGGAGAGAAAAAAAAAGGCAAAAAAAATGAGAGGCTGGTTGGCCCTCTCCTATGGGCTGAGCATCTCCGCGGTGCGAGGCAATGCAGGATGATCCAGAGCAGCGATGCTGAGGACCCGGCGCCCACCGGGGACATGAGCCTCAACATCCCCAGCAGAAATTTCACCCAGCGCAGTGGAATTCCCACGGGGGTGGGTCGGCCGGGGGGGGAGCGAGGCTGGCTCTCGGCAGGATGGGGAGGGTGGATGCAGCTCGCGTGGGTCCCGCCGCTCGTGGGTGCTCGGAGCCATCCGCGGGGCGCTGCTGGCCTTGCCGGGGGGACCCCCGGGCACCGGCGGGGGCTTCGCTCCGCTGCATGAAACCGGAGCCTCCTGAGGCACCGGGCGACGCCGCGCAGCCACCGTGGGTGCTGTGCCCGGTGGGTGACACCGACTCCCGGCTGTGCCGGGGACCTCGGGCGGCTTTGCAGAGCCCCGGCTGTCGGGGGGGCTGCGTCGGCGCCCCCCCCGCTCCCCGCCTGGCACGGGCTCGGCGGGCAGCGGCCCCGCTGGGCTGAGCACGGCGCAGGGACACGGGGCTCTGGTTTTTTCCGCCTCGTCTCTCCCTCTCCCTCTCTCTCTCTCGTGTTGCAGTGCGGGTTGGGCGGGCAGCTCCCGGCCGGGGAAAAGCGGGGTGCCCGGAGGAGCCGCGGCTTTGCGGATGCTCCAGGCGAAGCCCCACAGCTTGCTACCTTCTCGGTGTTTTTTCCAGGCGATGCCACACCTCCCGAGGACACTGGGGACATCGGGTTTTGCTGAGCTTAGCAGCTTTTCACCGTCTTACCGAAGGCATCAGACAGACGCTCATCTGCCCTGAAGTGCAGATCTGCAACAGCTCCCGGGAAGACTCTGTCTCTCTGTCTCTCTGTCTCTCTTTCTCTCTCTCTCCAGTCCAAACCATTACAAGACCTGACTTCCACCATCTGGGAATCTAATCCCTCTTATGCCCCTTCTCCTTTTTCTACGATGACTCACCATTATTTTTAACTTTGAAGAGAGAGGAAATTATGGGGATCTTGGAAGCCTGTATTTCTCTCTAGGATTTCCCCAGGGTCAGATAATCGGTGTTACTAAGAGACACTAAGATTTGGCTTCTCCAGGTAATGTGATTTGTTTTCTGTGTGCCATGGTGGTTTGCAGAGGATGACAGGAGCCGGGACACCAGCGCTCCAGGAGGGGGACTGCGGTGGTCCGCGGGGCAGCTGCTGGAACCGCGGGCTCCACGTTCCGGCAGCCGCAGAGCTCGGCTGCAGGCAGGGAGGGCAGCATGTCACCAGGGAAAGAGGATTGGGAAGGTGTTAAAACTTAAAAGCGGAGCTGGAGCTTTCCTGGAGGGTAGATTGCCTGAGATCGCACGGTTAAATGTTAATTAACCCTTAGCTGCATGCCTGGAAATGAGCTGAGTCCGGCACCCCGCGGGGTCCTCTCGCCACTTCAGGGCTGGATGGGGTTATTTTTCTTCCTTCCTTTCTCTTCCCTTCCCCCTCTTTATTTTTTTTAACTGGAATTTTTATTTTTAGCCAAAAAATAAGCCCTGGTTTACCAATGCCAGTTTTTCCACGCTGGTTTTGAACAGGTGACAGTTCCTCAGGTGTTTTCTCTGTTCCACCTAATGGGTTTAGATGGGAGTTGTTGAACTCTGTCCCAAGGAAGGCAAATTAACCCCTCCAGGAAGGGGATAGACGTGCTAGAGAAGGGATCTGCTCTCCTCCCACCAACTTTATTCCATCTCTCTCTTTCTCAGCAGGGGCGATTTTCTTTCTTCTTCTTCTTCTTCTTCTTTTTTTTGTTTTTTTTTGTTTTTTTTTCCTCTATTTTTATCTCATCCCTTCGCCTTTTCATGAGACTCTTCCAAACCTACGTACCTGTCCTTCTGCAGGATAGTAGCCCTGCCCTGAACCCGATCCCACCGCCGGGCGCTGGGAAGAGTTTAGCATAAGGATTTCTTTTAAAGCCCAATAATGACAGTTGCTACTGGAGATCCTGCAGATGAAGCTGCAGCTCTTCCCGGTCACCCGCAGGACACGTACAACCCCGAGACCGACCATGAGTGCTGTGAGAGGGTGGTCATTAACATCTCGGGGCTGCGCTTCGAGACGCAGCTCAAGACACTTGCCCAGTTCCCAGAGACCTTGCTAGGGGATCCTAAAAAGAGGATGAGATATTTCGACCCTCTCCGGAACGAGTACTTCTTTGACCGGAACAGACCCAGCTTCGATGCCATTTTGTACTATTACCAGTCCGGGGGGAGGTTGCGGCGGCCGGTTAACGTGCCCTTGGACATCTTCTCCGAAGAGATCCGCTTCTACGAGCTGGGGGAAGAGGCCATGGAGATGTTCCGGGAGGACGAAGGCTACATCAAGGAAGAGGAGAGGCCGCTGCCTGAGAATGAGTTTCAGAGACAAGTGTGGTTGCTCTTTGAGTACCCCGAGAGCTCAGGCCCTGCCAGGATTATAGCTATTGTCTCTGTCATGGTGATTTTAATCTCCATCGTCAGCTTTTGCCTGGAAACCTTGCCCATTTTTCGGGATGAGAACGAAGACATGCACGGCAGCGGGCTGAGCCATCCCCCCTACTCCAACAGCAGCATGGGGTACCAGCAGTCCACTTCTTTCACAGACCCCTTCTTCATCGTGGAGACACTTTGCATCATCTGGTTCTCCTTCGAGTTCTTGGTGAGGTTTTTCGCCTGCCCCAGCAAGGCTGGTTTTTTTACCAACATCATGAACATTATAGACATCGTAGCCATCATCCCCTACTTCATCACCTTAGGGACAGAGCTGGCCGAGAAGCCAGAGGATGGCCAGCAGGGCCAGCAAGCCATGTCCTTGGCCATCCTCAGAGTCATCCGCTTGGTGCGGGTCTTCAGGATCTTCAAGCTCTCCCGGCACTCCAAGGGGCTGCAGATCCTGGGGCAGACTCTCAAGGCCAGCATGAGGGAGCTGGGCCTCTTGATATTTTTCCTCTTCATCGGCGTCATCCTCTTCTCCAGCGCCGTCTACTTTGCCGAGGCCGACGAGAGCGAGTCCCAGTTCCCGAGCATCCCCGATGCCTTCTGGTGGGCTGTGGTTTCCATGACGACTGTTGGCTACGGAGACATGGTCCCCACCACCATCGGGGGGAAAATAGTGGGTTCCTTGTGTGCCATTGCTGGTGTATTAACGATTGCCTTACCAGTGCCCGTCATAGTGTCTAACTTCAATTACTTCTACCACCGGGAGACCGAGGGAGAGGAGCAGGCTCAATATTTGCAAGTAACCAGCTGCCCAAAGATCCCCTCTTCCCCTGACCTAAAGAAAAGCAGAAGTGCCTCTACTATTAGTAAGTCTGATTATATGGAGATCCAGGAAGGTGTAAACAATAGCAATGAGGATTTTAGGGAGGAGAACTTGAAGACAGCCAATTGCACCCTAGCTAACACAAACTATGTGAATATCACCAAAATGCTAACCGATGTCTAGTCGCTAAAATCTAGTCCCGTATTTAAAGCTGAAGTGGAACAATTGCAGATATTGAGTGCTGCTCTGCATTGTAGTTAATACAGTATTTTCTACGGTGTATATTTGGTTCTGCATGGGAAGCAATAGCTGTGTAAGTGACTTTTAACCTTTGATTTCCGCACCGAATAAGCGTCCGTGCAAAAAAACAACCAACAAATCCAAAACCATTTTGTTGCACTTCTCCCATCCCAGGCTCGTGGGTTTCCAAAGATTCGGAGGGGACGGGCACTTCCAGCAGCGGGATGGGGATGGAAGGGGCAGGTCCAGGGCTGAACCCTTGTGCCAGTCCTGGGTGACAGCCCCAGCTCCCAGGCACAGGGAGCAGCTGGGGAAGGTCACGCAGGAGCTCCTGGAGGGTGGCTCTGGGTGTGGGGCCGGGCTGCAGGAGGGCTCAGCTCCTGCCCCGGGAGAGCCGAGCGCGAGCGCGGCGCCCGGCTCGTGTTTCATAACTGAAAATGCTGCATGCTGCAATAGTTTCAGCCACTGCAGTGTGCCAGTGTGAGGCCCAGGGGAGGGATAATTAGTGTGACGGCACATTATTTATTAAGTCTTAAATTTTCTATGCGAGGCATCGGGAGGGATGAGTAAATAAATCAAGAGCTTGGAATTTATTTATTTATTTAGATGACACTTCCATCATCAATATTTCCAGGATCACCAAAGACACCTCCACTGACACATTGAAAATGAGTTGGAAAAAGCATCTTTTTTTATATCTATATATAAAACTGGAGCAACTATGCTGTGGCCTATAATATATTTATACTGCAGTGAAATTTAACCAGTAATACAGTACAGCTGCATGGATATTTGTTGCATGAATCTGAATATTTAATACACACACAAATATATATTTTCTTAGTAGACTATACAGTATTCATGTTTATAGTGTTTATAGATTCTCCGGTGGCTCGAAGGAGATTCATGGGAATTAAAAAATCTCCATTATAGTTAAAAACCGGATGGGGAAGGCGTGTGCTGACAACAGTTGGATAGATAACAGTGCAAAGCCTGAGAGATAACAAGGCAGAGCCTGAGTGTCCGAGCATCCAGACACAAGAGCTGACAAATGCAAGCCAGGGAAGGTGAGCTGAAAGTTAAACACCTGCGCTCATTATGGGGCGAGTAATTAGTCATTAATCGTGGTGTCAGGAGCAGAAACCACGGCGGATCGGAGAGGGCACGAGGAGCAGGTGGAATAGCAGGTTCCAGCTCTCCTGACTTGTTTGTTCAGCAGTTTTCAGCCGTTCCCGTAGAATTCCTGAGTGTGTGTGTGTGTGTATAGATATTTAGAGAGCGACTACAGGGCCGAATCCTCAGCAAACAGAGCTCCTGGGGTATCAGGGATGTCCCAGCTCAGGGCTGCTGGGATGGTGGGACATGGGCTGGAGCAGGGTGGCCTGCTCCTGGAGCCCATGGGGTCACCAGAGCAAGGTGTGTTTTGGGATTGAAAGGTGCTTTTCAACCCCCACAGGGCTGGGGTTTATTCCTTTATGATGGAGTGGGCAGGTGCTGAGGTGGCCTGGATCTGAGCTGGCACCTCTGAGCCTTTGCTTTGCCTTCTTTCAGGGTGTTGAAGAGCAGTGGGTCAGGGTGCAGAGAGCTCGAGGTTCTCTCTCTTCTTCATCCCTGGTGTTATTTGGGGATGGGTGAGAGCTGTTGGTCCATGGGGAATCTCACCTGCTTTCCCCATCCCTGTGTGGGTTTGCTTGTGTTTTCCCCATTGCTGACAATCCTCAGGGAGAGGTGCCCTGCTCCTTTTCCAGGTCAGGGGAGATGGAGGAAAATCTCTGCCAAGGTCACGGATGAGCAAAGCCTCCTTGGCTGTGGAACAGGGTTCAGTCAGGGTGAATTTGGGCTGAACTGGGGCGTGATCAGCCCTGAAACATTGCATGAAGGGTGAACACAAGGAGCCTGGGGAGGGCTCAGCCAGACCCTTCCCTCCTCAGAGAGGAAACCCCTGCTCCTGCCAATAATCCAGCTGGTGCTAAAGTATCTACAGCAATGGCTCCAAATGCCTCTCCAGAGCAGGATCCATCTTGTGCTGATGGGGCTCCACTGGCCAGGTGGAATCACTCCTCAGTTTTATTTGATTGATTGATTGATTGATTGATTGCGGCCTGGCTATAATTAATTCCAAGTGCCCATGGTTTGTGCATGGCAGCCCCTGCTCCTGTGTGGGGCAGGGAACCAGCAGCATCCCTGTTCTGGTCCCTGTTCAGTTGGGGTTCAGGGATGCTCAGGTCCCCAGCCTGTCTTTAACTGGATCTCATTATATTGGGAGTCCTGCACTCCACTTTGCTGGGAATGGGAGACCCTGAAGCCCCTTCATGCACACAAAAAAGCCAACACAACCAAAAGCAATAAATCCTGAGTTCTGAAGCTCACCCTGTTGGATGGGACAGGGCTGGTGAGAGTCACCAGCTCAGGCACCATTCCCAGGCAAGTCAGCCAACTTCCATGGATCCAGCTCCTGGTGGCTCTGTGGGGACATGGGCTCACACAGGGGAGCTGCCTGACGGGCTGGGATCCTCTGGGTGCCCTTAGCACCAGGTGGTCCCGTTCCTGGTCAGGGTTGAGGTGTTTTGCTGGTGGTTTTGCTGCAGTTCTTTGGAGGATGCTGGTGCTCTGTGGTACTTTGAGAAGTTTCCGGTTGTTGAACACCCGCCATGGGCTTGGGGTGGTTTGGAGCAGTGCTGGCCAAAGCTTTGGGTGTGTGTTGTGGTGGTTTGGTGAGGAGGAAGGTGAGGTTTTGCTTTGGGCAGGTGGCGTTTGGGGCACGGTGCTCCTGTGGGCCAGGCAGGAGGGCAGAGCAGATCCGTGAGCAGGATCCAAACATCCAAACCCAATCTCCAAGCTGGGGGGGCCTGGCTGCACTGGGAGGCTCCACAGCCACACAGCAGGGGCAAATGGGCATGAGGAGCAAGAGGCCACACTCCCGTTGTCACTGACATGAGGTGATGACTGTTCCCATGGCAGGGCCAGCACAGCCAGTCCCTCCCTTGGCACAGATCTGGCACCTCCTGCCCTGACCCTGGCAGATGTTCCTGGGGAAAACGAGCCCTGGTGGGAGAGCTCCGGGCTGCCCTTGTGTGGGGCACAGGGAAAATGCCCAGGCTCAGTGCTCAGGTGCTTGGCTCAGGGTGGGTGAGGGCCATGGCTGGGAGGGATCCGTGGCTGCACAGAGCAGAGGGGTCCAGACTTCTGCCTCTCACAGAGAAATGGTTCCCCTACAGCTTTTAATGGGATTTGTGCCTGCAGGTCGGAGCTCTAGTGCTATTTCTAGCTTTGCTTCTGACTCACTGATGTGATCTTGAACCAGTTTTTCAGGAGGAGACTGTGATATTTTTTTTTCTTCTTTTTTAAATTATTTTTTCTTAAGGAATGTGGTTTGAGAGAGTCTGGGCCTGTTTCTGTGGAGATGCTGAGCATCCCCATCTCCTCCTGACTCTGAAAGGTGCAAAAATGAGCCGCAAAGTGGCTCAGACTGAGGATGCTAAATCAGGGATCGGGAAAGGGGATGGTCCCATAGCTGTGTTAGAGTCCATCAGGCCCCTAAACAGAGGTAGTCTGGTTCCTTTCCTCCTCCTGAGGAGCCATTTCCCTCTCTCCAGGCCTGGAATGGAAGATTGGAGCTCCCTGGTCTGTGGAGGTGCTCCTGCCTTGGCACCCGGAGGAGGCAGCGCCTCTATTTTAGTTTTAGCCCCTGTGCCACGGTTCTGGAGAGATGGAAAGCTGTGATTGCAGAGCGAGTTGTCTTCTAACACCCAACCTCGTGCCCAAGCCTGCAGGCAGCCCATCAGCCCTTTCAAATCTTCCAGAATATCTGCTGGGGGCAATGGGGTGAGGCTCATGTACCAGCTGGATGCTACCAAGTGATTAGGAAAAAATTATCTCTCTGGAGCACGATGTTTTATTGGGAAAATTAATCCCTGCAGTGACTGTGTCAAAGTCCTACAGATCTGAATGCTGAGCTATAAGAAGCAAAGGATCTCTGGATTGGCGTTATGAGAGTGTGGCACGTGGGTGTATAAATATGGGCATATTTGTGCATAAATACACAGAAGGAGAGAAAAAGACAGAGGAGGAGGAGGTATTTCAGGAAGGACCTTGCTTTGTTATTAGATAATTCCTGGGTCAGCCCTTGAAACTGCTGCCAAAGCCTCGTAGCTTTTCCAGAGCTTGCAATATACTTGGGGATGGATCCAAGGGAAGGAGATCTGGATCTTGCCTTGGGAGTGGAAGCTTTCTGAGGGTCTGGTGGCATTCAGCTCCTCACACCCCTCTGCAAACAGCAGCTTGGCAGGGTCTCTGTTCCCAGCCCCAAGTCCTGGCTGGTGCCAGTCACAACCATTTCTGTGGCTGTGCAGGGAAAGCCAAGCAGGGTGGAAGGGATTTGGGTGAGATGCAGGTGCTGTGCTGCACTGAGTGGCCTTTGGGGTTATTGTTTGTAATGGTTGGGTTTTAAGTCTCTTAAACTATGGTGACTTTTGGTTCCAGTGTGGTGGCTCTTTCTGGAACCAGGGTGGTGCTATCACAGCATCCTGGAATGGTTTGGGTTGGAGGGACCTCAAAGCTCACCTTGTTTCACCCCCTGCCATGGACAGGGACACTTTCCACTAGACCAGGCTGCTCCAAGCCCCATCCAGCCTGGCCTGGGATCCTTTTCTCAAGATCTTTCCCATGAGACCTTATCCCAAGGTCTACATCCCTGGGGGTGTTTATCCATGGGAGTTATCCATGGTGGTCACTCATGGCAGCTGGTCAGTCTGCTGCAGGGTGAAGCGGGCTGAGGAAAGGAGGAAGCCCCAAACCATTCTGGTTTGCACCCAGGTGAAGGCTGTGGCTCTTCCCTCAGCTCCCTGGCAGCGTTTGACCTTCTCCATGTGACATCCCTTGGTCCCTCCTGTTGGGGACCAACTGCTGCCCCTGCCAGGATCCCCTAGGGGAACAAGGGTTAACCCAAGCACCAGCCACTGCTCTGCCCTTCCCCAGCCCTCTCAGCACCCCTGGCCTCGGTGTCCCCGGGATGTTTCTGCGTTTGGCTGCCCAAAATTCACCCCCCTGCCCAGAAATGGGTGCTCCATCCTGCTCCCATCAGGGTGGGGAGAGGGCCCAGCCCAGGGGTGAAGCAGCCCTGCGAGCACAGCACTGATTTACACCCGGGGACAAGATCCCCCAGCCCAGTTATGCATGATGAGAGATAAATCCCTAATTCATGTTTTTCCTCCAGAGAGGGGGTGGTTTGGCTTGTAGGAGCTGCTGGACATTGTGTAACCACGCCAGGTTCACACACATGGACCCACCACGTCCTCTCCCCAGCCCTGCCTGGCTGTCCTGAGCTTGGGGTTGGTATTCTGGGATTTGGTTTTTTGATTATTATTATTATTTTTTAATTTTTTTTTCTGCTGCCTATAAGATGTAATTATCCATTTGCACTTGCTCCCTCACTGTTTGAGACTGTGCTCTTGTCCTCCAATGTCATCCCCGAAGCACAAGGGGACAAAATGGGTATTGGATCAACCCTGCATGTGGTGCCTAATTTGAGCAAATCAATAGGAAGAGGAAATCCAAGAAGGACTCATCCTAAGGATGCTGGAGCTGAACCTTTTGTTTCCATGGTTACGGGAGAAATGGGACCAGGAATGGAGAGAGGCCTATAAACTGTTAAAGGAGGACTCGTGGGAATTTCAAGTCATTTAACCATGCATTTGCTAGACACAACTTTAGACACCAGCTGGATCTGACTTGCACAGTGTTTATAGAAATTCCTGCTTTATTGACAGCTGGGGGGGCGTGGGAAGGGGCTGGGGGCCCCCGAGTCAATAAGGCTGCCTGTTGTATATAGGTATACAGAGCTGTGTACATACATATCC